AAGGAAGGAAGGAAGGAAGGAAGGAAGGAAGGAAGGAAGGATCTGCCACATTTCCATGACCATCTTCCCAATCTGCTCAATCCACCCATCCGGCACTGGGTCCCACTGGTTGCTCTCCTCCGTCCTAAAGCGGTTGGCTCGGCTTCTTCAGAGTTTTGAGCAGTGGTTCCCAGTTTCCCCACCGGTGATGGGACAGCGGTGGGGCAGAAGGAACCGGTGCTTGCCAACGGCAGGCGTAAATAGAACTTCACGGGGGTGCAAATGCCCGTTGTGTGCGCCACAGGGAGCTGTGTGTTGTAAGCCCACGCGCCTGCTGCTTCCGTGGCCCAGTTCCAGGCAGAGCGCCCCGAACCGGGCCGCGATCCAACAGGGTGTGGCCCAGGACCGGGCTGCGATCCAACGGGGTTAGGGACCCCTGGTATGGAGGCAACTGGAGCAGCCAGGAACGGTCCCTGGTCGTCTGTGTTCGGAACATTTTTTTGGCGTCGTCCATTCTCCATGCCGGTCCTGGGTCAGGAGCCTCCGGCTTAGGCCGTCTGGGGGTGGGGGGTGTCGAGGGCATCAGGGCCCGAGGACAAGGGGGCCACTGGTGGGCATCCCACTGAGCAGGAAAGCAGAGAGGATCTGCCTCCTTCCCCGTAGAGTGGAGGGTCCCTCGATTGGAAGAGGGAGTCCCCCCCCTGTCGTTTTCTCGCGTCCCAGAAAAAGGCCCCTCCCTGCCTCCCCAGGAGGACCAAGGAGAGAAAGTCCTCGCCCGTCCGTCCGTCTGTGGCCTGACACGTTGGGAGGGGGGGACAGCTGGACCACCACTTCCTGTCTGAGCCGGAAGAAGTAGGGGTGAGCTCCAGGAGGGGTTTGAGGGCTGGGTGGCTCCTTGGCTGTAGGTTCTTCCCTCCCTCATTTCTTTCCCTTCCTTCCTTCCTTCCTTCCTTCCTTCCTTCCTTCCTTCCTTCCTTCCGTCCGTTACTTCCTTTCTTTCCTTCCCTTCCTTCTCCCTTCCCATCCCTTCCCCTCTCCCTCTTTCTTTCTCTCTTTTCTTTCCTTATTTCCTTCCTTCCTCTGTCCCACCCTACCTCCCTTTCTTCTCCACCTTCCTGTCCTTCCTTCCTTCCCCTTTTCTTCACCCCTCACATCCTTCCTTTCTTACTCTCTTTCTTTCCTTCCTTCCTCTGTCCCAACCCCTCTCTCCATCCCTTTCTTCCTCTTCCTTCATTCCCTCCCCTTTCTTCATCCCCCACTTCCTTCCTTTATTTCCTTTTCTTTTCCTTTCTTCCTCCCTTCCCCTTTTTCTTTCTTTTCTTTTTCTTTCTCTTTCCTTCTTTCCTTCCCCTTTCTTCATCCCTTACTTTCTTCATTTCATTTTCTTTTTCCTTTCTTCCTCCCTTCCCTTCTTTCCTTTCATTTTCTCTTTCTTTTCTCTCTTTCCCTTCCTTCCTTCCCTTCTTCATCTCTCTTTTCCTTCCTTTCTTCTTCCCTTCCCCTTTCTTTCCTTCCTTCCTTCCTTCCTTTTCTCTCTTTCTTTCTCTCTCTCTCTCTTTCTCATTTTCTTTTCCTTCCTTCCTTCCTTCCTTCCTTCCTTCCTTCCTTCCTTCCTTCCTTCCTTCCATCTTAAGGGGACAGAACGGCTCGTAATAGTGGGAAGGGACTGGTTCTCCACCTCCCTTTAGAGACCCCCCACCACAAAGTTCACCTCTTGGCCCCTCTGGCCATCCAGAGGGGCCTCAGCCCCCCCTCCCACCCATCCCACCCCTCGCAGAATCCTTCCTGCACTCCCCCCCCCCTCCCACAATTTCCTGGGCTGATCCACTGATCACGGGAGTGGGGGGGGGGATGAGGTGGGTTCTCCCATCCGTCCTCGCCAGGGAGGGGGGGGTCTTGGGGGGCAGCTGCTGGAGGAAATTCCAGGCCCCAGAAGGGAGCAGGGCCTGCTTGTTCCAGGCCCCTTGAAATCCAGCCTGCCCTGCAAGGTAGGCCCTTTCTAACTGTAGCTTCCGTCCTTGGGGCCTCTTCTCCCCTTCCCCTTCTCCCCGTTTCCATCCAGCCCCTTTCTCCTTCCTTCCCATCCGGGACGGGCAACAGAACTTTAAAGCAGGGTGTGTGTGTGTGTGTGTGTGTGTGTGTCCAAACTCGGCCATTTTTAAGACGTGTGGACTTCAACTCCCAGAATTCCCCAGCCGGCTGCAGAGGCTCCCTTTCTTAATAGACGGTGGGTGTGCAAGGGAGCGTAATATATCTTTGACTTCAGCAATGGTGAAAAGGAATTCTGGGCGTTGAAGTCCACACGTC